CTTGAGTTGAGAACTATGAGCTATAAATAAAGATTGTCATCTTATTTGAGTCTCCCCTAAATGAGTAGTGCTAAAATAGCGCAAAATAGTACTACAGTAGTGCAAAATAGCGAAAATTAGAGGACCACATTTGCAGTAGTGCTATAATAGTATCATGTTGGCACTACATGGCACTATAGAAAAAGCGATAGTGAAGAGTAGTTATAACTAGTACCAAGTATACTAATTAGTGCTTAGTTGCACTACTGAAGAAGTGCGTCTGAATAGTAGCTCTAATGTAGATGTCATCTCTGCTAACACTTGCTAATATAGATGAGATTATCTGAATAGTGATAATTAGTGTCAATTCGCAAAGGCTGTTTTTCCAGATGAACCTGACCCTAGCATTTCCAGTGGGCCTTTGTATCCCTCTTTGTGATTTGAGATAGTTTATGGGCACGTTGCATTGCCTGTATATTTAGCATAGATTTCCTCACCTAGACCATTGCGCTTTGCCTGCCGTGACAGAACCTTGCGCGACGCGTGTGATCAATGATCAGCTGACTCGTGTGAAGCAGACGCCCAAGACGCGTTATGCCAGAAGCAATCGCAAGAAAGACGCTGCTCGCTCTCGGTGCCCGTCTTGACTGCGACTCGTCTTCGGCTATGGCTGGCATACGCGTTCGCAAGCCCGGACCTACAGCGCGCATAAAAGCTGGCTGAATACTGGCGCGACAGCTCACTCCAGCAGGTGACCGGTCGTTGCTCGCTGCTCCTCCTTGCCCTGCGTTCCCACTCTTGTTCGCCTTCCGCCCTTGTTCGTATTCTTCCTCAGCATTTTTCTCGCTGTCCACACACTCGTCGGCATAGGCTTTGCTCTCTGTACATTCTCTCCGAGCATAATTTCAACCGACTGTTCTGCGTCTCTCCACACCATATGGACTGCGAAGAGGACTGAGACACCTCCCTGTGCATAAATCATAGCCAAGTACGAGGCCCTCCTGTAGGTATTTGGCTCACGCGCTTTTTGATCCTCAATGGCACTCACTATAATGTCACGTACAGCATGATTCACAAGACCACGCACGATAGATCGTGCCAGGTTGTCCCAGCACACGACGAGGACGGGGCAGAACAAAGGCACTGGATACATGGGCATGGTACAGGCGAGCGTGGCGGTCTACAGGAGACCGGGGACGTAAAAGTGGTGAGGTATACGGTCTATGAAGGGTGATTTCCTTATGTATGAATGTGCGGACACTCCTTCAAGCGATATGCAATGGCTGTCTTCCCTTCCTACCCGTCCCAACCCACCTCATGTTAGGTCATTTCCATGTTCACGCCTCCATCTCTCACATTCAATCCTCCCCCGCCCGCATATACTGAGAAGGAAGCTCCGCTGGACGGCTGTAGCACTCCTACCAGAAAGGTGTTACGCTACATTCGGCAGGCAGTGTTCGTCTGTCCGAAGAGCAACATGGCGCAACGGGACAGACGAGCCTGTCCCAAATATTTCATCTCCGAAGGCGAGTTCAGCCGTATACTGCAGAAGAATGGAAGCAAGTCCGGGACAACGCGCATGGCATACGCGAACACATGCGTCCGAGGACACCTCTGTAAGTGTGTTCATGACTTGATCGCTTCGACCCCTACATAGACGATCTCCGGCTGCACCATCGGGTAGGGAACCGCCCGTAGTCCGTGACGACGCTCTGGCCAACGACGGTCTCTATGTTCACTCTGCAGTGCTCGAGGACAGCGCTCTCTTGCTCCAGCGGGAGATGCACTTGCATGTACTCGTTAACGTCAATGAGCCGCCGTCCTCGCTCGATGGACGATGCCGCACATCGCGGGAGGTCTCAGCATCATCCCAAGAAGTCCGTGCAATTGAGGAAACGACCGACCATGGGGTGGACGTCCCGGCTACAGCGAATGGCCGATTGCATGTCCGTCGCCTTCGCAACGCGCACAACGACCTCGTGCTCCTGGCCGAGCACTTCCACAATCACCCTGGTCTCACGGCTTCACGCCGCCCTGCAGTGCGAGCGATGGCAACTGGACACTGCCCTTGATGTCCGCCTCTCGGGGTCGTGGTCCACGCAGCACATAGCGCTTCGATAAAGACGTGGGAGAGGCGCAGCGAACCTTGTTAGATGAACAGCACTTGGTGTGCTGTTCCAGTTAGTGTTGCCGCGAAGTGAGGTCAAGGTCGCCTTAAGGTGTCGGAGTTCATACCTTGATGCACCTTGAAGCGCCACAAGGTCAGCTTGAAGTGGGCACGTGCTAGGCTTGCACAGCGAGCATGGGTAGTCTGGGGATCTCGGTGTACTGCGAAAGGTTGCAGTCTTGGTGATAAACTCGGGGCTGTGAAGACAAAGATTAGATCCGACTAGAGTCGAAGCAAGATCTTCAGTCAGTAAGGAAAGACTATATTGCAGTAACCAACTGTACCTAGAGTCGAAGCAAGACTACAAAGGTTAAGTAAGTAACTACAAGTTAGAGGTAAAGGTAATGAAGTACTCACTCTTCAGTCAGTAAGGAAAGACTGAAGAGGGAGGACACAATCTGAAGTCCTTATATACTACAGAGAAGTGTCCATGACTAATCGAAGAGTGGTTAGTCACATGTACCATAGTGCGATGAATAATACAATGACGAAAGAATTGCGACGTATCGCACCATAGGATGAGTAAGAGATGAGTAAGGCATAGACCTGTCAGACCGTTCTGGAGTAGTACGGATTGTCCTAGACAGTACCAGAAGAGTCCGGAAGCATAGCTATAGTACACGAGCAGAGAGTCCCAAATATGGTAACATACTACATAAGCGACTACA